TGTATTTGTGTGTGTGTGTGCGCGTGTGCGTGTGTGCGCGCGTTCGTCTGACACACGCGCGCGCGCACACACACACACACACACACACATACTGACACGTACCCATGTGAGAGGCGAGGGGAGGACTCTCGTTAGTCCAGCATCCCGAAAGGATCAGAAGTCATACTGCGTCCGTCTCGTTGGTAATGCCGAGACAGGTACACGCACACATTCACATGAAAACACGTGTTTAAAATTCACTGCATCTAATTTCGTGCTCCATATCTTGAAAGAACAATACTCGAGCTTTCTTTTCGTCACGGGAAGACAATTTTATTGTTGCTCGTTCCTTTTTGATAGACGCCCAAAATTTGGCAATTTGGTGATTCGACCCTTTTGATCTTCAGTTGTTTAAAAACTAGAGCCAATTCAATATTTTTATAGGCATATTTGGATTCTGCGGAAAAAATCCTATCGGAATCGACTTATACTTGTAAGTCAACGTGAAATTAGGAAAATTTTGTTGGGCTGTGTTATAGCTTTTACATAGTTTTCATTGTTTTTCTTATTCACTTTAGCAGCGCGAAGTGTTTTTACATAAAAAATTTTTTTATTTAAATAAATTTTTTTCATTGTTTTTAAATTAATTGTGATATAATTTTTTTAAAGAAGAATTAAATCACTTGGTTTCGAATAGGAAGATCTTCTAATAAGAATACAAAGGCATATACTTTTGCATGTAATTTTTTAATATAGTGAAATGATATTGTTCCCTGGGGTGATTGTATGAATTTATCATAAAAAGCATTACGACAGAGTTTTAGCATATGACAAGGATCCATTATTACGTGAATATCGGTCTGCAGATTAAGATACTTGAAAAAAGTCTTCATTTCATCGAGTTTAAAATTACAACCCAAGAATTCGTAAGTAGAGAGATTAACCTGACTTCCATCGCTAGTTAAAGTGTATACAGTGATACCGACATCATAAAGTTTTTTTATGGCGAGATCAAGTAATTTACTTTGATGATTCGTGGCAGTGATACCGTTTATGAAAAAATGTGCAATTGGCATTTTGAATGCATGTTTATAAAAAACAATCTGGAAAGCTAAAACCTCTTTGGCAAGATCGTTAGAATTAATTTGCAATTTCAACTCTGTCGCTGCATTACCATAGTCGACTCTACCTCTCAAAGTGTTTTCCTTGTTATCTACAATCTCTTGTGTTCGTATATAGCCATCGCATCAAATATTAAACCTACATCTCTAACAAACTCCGATTTTTTAGTTTCTTCTTTCAAAAAATCAAAAACTTCTTTTATAAGTCCAGGTTCGCACGAGGACTCTCCTACCTATTTTTTCAAAATACTTTGATGAGGTAAATATACATATTGCGATCGTACAAATTTGTACGCTTTCGGAGAATAAAAGTATAACGTGGAAGCGAATTCTTTAATTTTTTTGGAATAACATCGTCGCTTTTTTGCTACTTTATAATTATCAGTAATATTTTTTAAAAGTTCCAAATTGAATCCAGAAAATTTTCTCAATAAAATCTCTTCCAATGCATTATTAGAGCTATTACCTCTTTTCAGTTGCTTTAATAATGCGGTCACAGTCAATAATCTTGCTTGGTTATATCCAGGAAGTAAGATATAAGGAGACTCCACTCCGTAAAATAAAAGTGGACCCATTTTAGGTTTCGAGTTCAGCTTCCGATTCTGATGAGTGCGAGTAAGAGAAATGATCATTTCTCTTACTCGCACTCATTATGCGCAGCACTACTAAATTCACGAGCGCTGCGAGTGTCGAGAATCGGAAACGGAACTCGAAACCTAAAATGGGTTCATGTCTTGTAGACTAGCGAGACCGAGTGGAGTCTCCTTATATCTTCCTTCATGGTTATATCTAACAAGGAACACTACCCAAGTGTAAAGACCTATAATGAAAGATGCGCCAACCGCGAACGGCCCGTGATTGGTCCGCCAATGCGTACCCGTGCCAACCTTACCTGCCTGACGCTGCCAAGCTAGGTGAGAAGATGAGAGCCTGTTACGTATATGGTTATAAAAATATGTAGGTAAAAATTGCGAAGTATGGTCTTGTTTTATGAAATATGTAATATTATGATAATGATATAATATTATGATATTATGATATTATTTATTCTAAATATTTTAACATTCAATGTTTAGATTCAAATAAAATTTAAAGCTAAAAATGACACTAATTGCTCAAATATATGAAAATTTTATTAATCATCAATATTCAAATATATAAACATGTATAATTATTTTTTTATTTGTTATATTCAATCATATGTTCCATCAAATGTATTGCCTTTTTCATTCGATTCATTTCGTAGGATTATTTTAATGCTCTTAAGTATTTTATTTTTCAATTTCAAACATCTGATGATTTCGGATGCGATCGTACATTCCCTCTGTAGAGTTTGCAACATCTCTGATTCTTCTTCTGGTACTCCAACTCCACTTTGTTGACATGATCATTACGAAAGGGTTAGGTTACGTATGGGTACAAGATGTCGGACAGAAGTAGTGGTGGGGGACAGTTGGCGCATCTTTCATTATAGGTCTTTACCCAAGTGTGACACGCCGATTTGGCTGCAAGTTGGCACATTTTTAGAACTCGGAAAAATAATCGATACGTATTTTTTTTTATCAGCAAAGAAGAAGGTTTAAGGGTTGAAACTACCCCCTGTATTGCTCAAAAACCCCTAAAATGCATAATAATATGCACGCACATATTAAGTAAAACTAATTTGGTCCGCCATTTTGAATTTTGTAAATTTTACCTCAGATTCTAAATCAGCGATCCAAAAACCCGTTTACATACCAAGTTTTATGAAAAACCAAAAAGTTTTGTAAAATTTGGTCCGCCATTTTGGATCCGCCATTTTGAATTTTGTAAATATGACCTCAGATTTGAAATCGGCGACCCAAAAAACCCCAAGATACCAAGTTTTATGGAAAGTTTTATGGAAATTAGTATCACACTTGGGTAGTGTTCCTTATAAGTTTAGTTTTAAGCTTTTGAATTTCTTGTGCCTGACTTTTTTCTTTCATTGATGGACGTAAATGCCGAGGAGAAATTTGAGTAGCAGCTTCCTTTCTCTACGAACAAAACAAAGTTGCGTAATTCTGAATAATGAAATTAACAAAACAATGTTTGAAAAACTTACTTTTTTTATTTCTGCACTGGGTGATGGAGAACGAGATGGCGAATGTGGACGTTTCATCATATTACGAACTGATGATATAGGTGTTTCAATTGAAATTTCTTCAAATGCAAAAGTTGTAGTACATGTTGGGATTTCATTCAAGTGATGAGTATAACCTGTAATAAATATAATATTTTTAAACTAAATCAAAAATTTCACAAAAAATACATATCACACATCATATTGTATTTGAACTTACATTTTTCTGAATATCATACTTCAAAATTAAAGAGACGGCATAGTTCTTTAAATAACGTTTATCAGAAATTTCATCATATGATGATCGACTGAAGTGTTTGCTACAAATTTTGAAATATTTTGAAATTTTTTTACTAGCAGGTATGACGTCCATCCATTGAGCCAGTAATTCTTTGGGCCGTATTCATAGTCCGAGCTCAAATCAGCACTTAAGACCGTCTTCACAGTATAACCAGTAACGACAGTAAGCGTCGGTACCTTTGATGTTGAGGTTTACGAAACACGTGACCTACAGCCATATCCTTAATTGGAAAAAACGCCAAATTTCAAATAATAGATATCGTAAAATTAAAAATATTCAAAGTAAAATATTAATATTTTAAAAAATAACACACTACAAAAAATAATAAATATTTTTGAGATTTATTTGTTATTATATTTTATTAATTACTTATGTAACGTTATAAAATTATAAACAGTGTGATAAAACATACTTAAAAAATAAAATTTCATATAAAATAAATTGCGTATTTTATATACATATGTGGTGAGTCAAAAAAATAAAAAATTCTCTTATTATTTACTTCAAAATATGGTCGTTCGGTAGTAACGCCTAATTTTTCTGACATTTGTACAAAATTACTATCTATGTCGCTAATGAAAGCAATTACGTTTAATCCAATATCTTGTAATTTCATAATAGCTTCTAAAATAACTCTTCTTACATTATCAGCTTTAAATGTGGAATTGAGGAAAAAATAACCTAGCGGCTGTTTCCAAGATTGATATAAACCTCGTAACATAATAACAGCTACATTACACGCTGATAAAAAGGATTTGCCATGTCCATGATCTTCAAAAACCAACAACTTTATCAAGATGGATATTATAAGTAAGATTTGCTATTAAAGCAGCTTCATCTATACACATAATACAAAGTTTATCAACGTTATTAAAATTATATACTTATTTACGTTTTAAAACATGAAAAATATATAATCGTATAATCCTGGTAAAATTTTTAAATTTTTTATTGAACGTTGAAGTATTCTTGAGGTAGGTAAGTAAAAAGTATATATTGCTTAATAATTTATAACTTTTTGGTGAAGAAAAGTAAAGTTGTAAACAAAATTGTTTAAATTCCTTACAATACTTTTTACCTTTTTTAGATTGTTTATGAAGTTGTGCTTGAATTTTGACAAAAGTAGCTATTTGTGGCGGAAGAAATTTGTCGCAATGCGAATTCCAATCTTCAAATATAAACTTTTTTTTTTAGTTTCATAAAATGCAATCTTTTTTTCTAGTCTGTTTATTTTCTTCTGAAGATAAATGTTTTTGCATCTTAACTTTTTTTTTCTTGGAGTATTATAGGATAACTTTTGATTCGGTTTGCGCAAACTTAGTCTCCATAACTATATCCATAATTTCGATTGAAACTTAATCCTTAAGTTCAACATTTTTTATTTTATCTTCTAGAAATAATAAAAAAATTAAAGAATTAAAAAATTAAATAAAAAAGTGAATATTTTTATTACTTACCTTTGTCAATATTAATCATTTCTTTTCCTAAATATTTATGTGTTTTAGATGTACTTGGCTCATTTACATTTATTGCATTTATATTTATTTCTGGTAATTCCATAGTAAAACATTAACATCAGCTGAAGTTTATTTTATTTGAAGAATCAGTTTCAATAATTTTTATATTTAATAAAACAATAGAACAGGTTAAAACAGAAAAAAGCATTAAAAGTTCATTACATAATTAGTAAAATTATTAATATGTTAATAATAAATAGTCAATGTGAATCAGTTATATTTCAATTGAATTTGATAATAAAAATGAAACTTATTAAGAAGTGTATAATATAAATATAAAATTACAATTCAGAAATAAAGTTACAATAAATATTTACATTAATAACATTTATCATTTTAAATATGAAAATTTATTAATAAAAGTATGTAATAAAGTGCTCTATAAATTTAGTATAGATTTAAACAAAACAGAATATATAATTTTTACCTTTCACATTTACTGATAAGGATTCCACATTTACTGACAAATTTATTGTTGGAATTGCATGTGATTGAAGCCTATTTCTTAAATTATTTAAAAACATTGATGGTGTGAAATGTTCACTACAAATTCTATAATTATTATTTAACTTTTCTAAAGTTGTTTCTATACATCTATTACAAAATTGCAACCATAATTTAGCTCTAAAGGGAAAACGTATCCAAATTACTAATTTTTTAACATATGTGCGAGTGTATGTGTGTGTGTGTGTGTGTGTGTGTGTGTGTGTGTGTGTGTGTGTGATTGGTAAATTTTACCTTTCGAGATCTTTTGGAAATCTAAAAAAACTAACTCCCTTAGTACACCCACGGTAATTAATTCTGTCCCTCGGAAATTTTCACAAAATAAAAAGTGACCACCTTTCTATATTAATTGTCAAAATCCATGCACGATAAGGTTCAGTCGTGACCACGGAGTATTAAGAAGGAGTAAAATCTCCGCTTCTAAAAGTGTCCCCGTTTCGATTGTCAATATGGCGTTCGACGGACCCCACTTTCCGGTTTGTGACGTCAGCGTCTGCGCATTGCTCGCCTTGTAGCAGACGACAATTTTAAGATCGAGAAATTGTAGAAAATAATAAAACGCGTAATAACGCGTATAAATGTGTGTTTTTTTTCTAACATTACGTTATATAACTGAATAGTACGAGTTATGTAAATAAAAATGAACTATTAGTAACAAATCCCAAATTTGTATCACAATGTTAAATAATTAATTTAATAATGTTTAATAATTAATTTATTACACGTTAAATAATTAATTTATGATACAAAAGTTTATATGTACAAGTTTATATATAATTAGATTAATTATTCTTTCAATAACCTTTTTGCATCTTTAAAATTCTTGCATACTTCCATATTTTGAATAAGATGAAGTATGTTGACAATATCTTTCTGTAACTCTACAGAACTCGGTACACATTTTATTCTAATCGGAATATCGTCCAGAAGCACTTGTACACTTAGATCATCATAAATTTTAAGACGTCGTAACACTTCATTTTTGTCAACTGTTAAAAATGTGATAGATTTTTCATTTTCACTTTTGATTGCACCCCATGAACAACTTGGAAGCAATATGTTCGAGTACGTTGATATTAACATTTCAAAATTTAATTTTTCAGGAGTTTGGTTGATATCTTCTGCGGTGGATGATTCTACAGCTTGTTCACAATTGTCGTTTCTTTGAGGAGTAACGTTATCAAACAAGGACGGTACTTCTATATTTATATCATCACAATCGTCACCGGTCAAATTCTCGGCAACTATCGGAATAGCATTTGGTCTCAATTTCAATACTATTTTTTTAGTATGATGTACTGTACCATCATTTAGTAAAATATCGTTTGAATGAAAAACATCATCGATGCTGAAATGTTCCTCACAAACGAAACAATATTCAGTAAGTGGCCTTTTCAACTGACCTAAAATTACAGATCCAACAAATTTTTGTCCTGATAATAAAAAAGAATAACCATAAATGTTGCACATAACCTTACAAAATGTAATCAGTATTTTCTTACGTACTTTAGGTGCTTTAAAAAGACTTTTATTCTTAATTCCCAATTCTTTGTTTCGTTTTTTGGTACTTTTCAGCCCATTTCGGCAATTAAGAACTGTACAAACGCGTTTTCCCATTTTCTACAACTTTTGATGCAAGGCGAGTAATATGCAGACGCTAACGTCACAAACCGGAAAGTGGGGTCCGTCAGAACGCCATATTGACAATCGAAACGGGGACACTTTTCAGGCGATCAGGCTATGGAGATTTTACTCCTTCTTAATACTCCGTGGTCGTAACGTTAATCGTGCATGGATTGTGACAATTAATATAGAAAGGTGGTCACTTTTTATTTTGTGAAAATTTCCGAGGGACAGAATTAATTACCGTGGGTGTACCTATCACATTTTTACAATCTTTCACAGCGCAACTATATCCACCCATTTTAATATTTCTCTTTTATTATTTTTGCGTTTTATAATGCCTTTTAGAGGATACCTTTATATTCCTTTTCTACTTTTTTATTATACAATAATATTGTAGGTTATTTTGACCTTATTGAACGTTATGATTCGTAATTGGCGAACAAGCCGCCAAGCCGCCATATCGTCAATTGGATTTCTTGCACATGCGCATTGAAATTTTATACTCTGGAATTTTAACTACTGTCGTTACTGGTTATACTGTGCCGTCTTGGCGAAGAACGCCTATTCAATCAAGATCATCTCAATAGTAGTAGATTACATAGTCACGAATTAAGACGATCTTGGCGAAGAAGTTCTTGCCTAAATTTTGCTTATTTTAAATAAGATCATCTTCGCGAAGTTATGCTTAAGGTAATACTTATTTATAATTCGGCTGTTTCCGTGATATTTCCTTTGAATCCTCCAATGGAAACATTGCATACTTTGAGCTAAACAGAACAAACCTAATATATTATTGCGTTGTATTGTATTCTGTTGCATCGTGTTAACGAAAACTACTTTAATTAGTATAATATTTTTCTATATCAAAAATTGAAAAAGAAATATTAAAGTATAAAATGTTAATTACAGAACAACGATATATTCGGAGATCGCTAGTTTTTATAAAATTATTTGCTGAAATCGGCGAATTCAAGTACTTGTATTTATTGTTGTAACCTCAGCAGTAAACTCGAGAATGTCGACTGTCTAACAAAATTTGTTATCTTGAATCTCTCGTGCAATATAAAAATTAATTCTAGTAATACTAATATAAGAAGGGCAAAGAGCCAAGTAAATTTATCGAATAATATAATTCAATGAGATCTTTAAAAATTACAAATTGACAGACGTTTCGACGTCTTGTTAATATTTAAAAGAATTATGTAATTTAGTAAAATTAAATGTAAATATAATATAAGAACACGAATTAGATTCTTAATTGTCTGTTATTCATTTTAATTCTAATAATTTGTAACATTGAAAATGATCCGATCGGAGTTGAAACGTCTGTCAATTTGTA